ATAGTCTAGCCTGACCTTGAACACACTGTATATCCCAGGCTATCCCTAAATTCAGGACCCTACTGCCTCAGCCTCCTAAGTGCTGGGATTATAGGCATACACCATCGTATCTGGTTATATATTGACTTTTTAAGCACCAAGTCATGAGACACATGGGTCTTCACTTCATGATAATAACATTGGAGGCCGGGTGGTGGCAGCACATGCCTTTAATCCCATCACTTGGGAGGTGGAGGCAGGTGGATCTCTGTGAGTTCGAGGCCAGCCTGGTCTACAGAGTAAGTTCCAGGATAGTCAGGGTTACACAGAGAAAAACAAAAACAAAAACAAAACAAAACAGCAACAACAACAAGCCAGGCTATCTGTCCATGCTGTTATGGTTAGTATCTATTTGTACATTTTCTTTACCTGGCTACTTAATGGTTGAGTTTATTTGAATTTTTTATTTAAGCAGAGTTTATCTGAACTTTACACAGTGAAATAAGAGAGAAAGTGGAGTTGAACTTGAGCATCTCAAGTCTGAACTCAGTGACTTGATTCACAGTGACATAAAAATTCACAAGCCCCAGTGGGAATTATTGAGCCATTTCATCATTTCCTGTGGTCCATGAGAAAGGAAGTGATTTGAAAATAAGTCTACTATTTTCTCTCTCTCTCTCTCTCTCTCTCTCTCTCTCTCTCTCTCTTGGGTTTTCAAGACAGGGTTTCTTTTTATAGCCTTTGCTGTCCTGGAACTCACTCTGAAGACCAGGCTGGCCTTGAACTCACAGAGATCCACCTGCCTCTGCCTTCTGAGTACTAGAATTGTAGGTGTGCACCACCACTGTTCGGTTGTGGGTTTTTTTGTTTTGTTTTTGAGACAAGATCTCACTCATTATATAGCCTTAGCTCAGCTAGAACTTGCTCTGTAGATCAGGCTGCCTCACAGGGATCTGCCTGCCTCTGCCTCCTGAGCGCTAAAGATTAAAGGTTACAGGAGTCCCCCAACACTTCAAGCAAATTTACTATTTTCTGTAAGAATTTCACTTACACTTTCTTCCCCTCCTTAATATCTGCTTTAAACACTTTAATTAAATACGTGATTGGGAGGAAGCTCAGTGGTAAGACACCTGCCTAACATACATAAAGCCTTGTTTCAATCCTCAGCACTGCCAAAAAAAAAAAAATTGTGTGAGCAAACTTAAAGAAACTAGACAGCAGAAGTAATAAAAATTTCAAATTATATGCATTGTTTACAAAGTTAAACTTTGGCTTCTCCCAACCTTACAGGTGGTATAATGTGCTAGGTTTAGTTTAAATTCTTCTTATGGAGAGATGGCTCAGTGTTGAGTGTGTGCTGTTCTCACAAAGTACCTGAGTTCAAATGCCAGCACCCACATGGGGTGGTTCATAACTGCAGTAATCCTGGCTCCAGGGACTCTGACACCCTCTTCTGGCTTCCCCAGGCAACTGCACTCACATGCACATACAGCACACAAACACACACTCAAACAAACAAATAATAAAGCAAATTTTAAAACCAAGACAAGCAGGGCATGGTGGCACACACCTTTAATCCTAATACTTGGAAGGCAGAGGCAGGCAGATCTCTGAGTTTGAAACCAGCCTGATCTACAAATTGAGTTCCAGGACAGCCAGGACTACACAAAGAAACCCTGTCTCAAAAAATTCAAAAAATAAAAGAACACTAATAAATAAATTCTTGTCATCTAGCCCAGGTTGGCCTCAAATTCGCAGCAATCCTCCTTGTTCAGCCTTCAGGGGCAGGAGGAGAATGCAGGAAGATCCCTTCTCCAGATGTCCAGCCCATCCCTCCAAGACAGGACTGTCCCTGCCAGGTTTAATTCACCTATCAGCCTTTTCAGCTGTTTCTGGTTCCCTGACAGCTGCTTTGTCACCACTACCAAATCCTAGCAGCCCAGAACCCACAAGTGAGTTTTTCCCGGCAAGATATTGTGTGGTTTGACAGCCACAGCACCACCAATACCAACACCACTGCCACCAACACCACCAACACCACCAACACCATCAGCTTGTTGCTAGGCTCATTTTGTGACTTGCAGTCTTTTTTTTTAATGATTTATTTAACTTTATTTTATGTGCATTGGTGTGAAGGTGTTAGATCTCCTGGAACTGGACTCTCAGAGAGCTGAGAACTGCCATGTGGGTGCTGGGAATTGAACCTGGGTCCTCTGGAAGATCAGTCAGTGCTCCTAACGGCTGAGTCATCTCTCCAGCCCTGACTTACAGTCTTCCTAAGTCTGACTCAGCACTCATGGTAGTGTTAATATTGTCACAGCTAACCGAGTGTTTGAAGTTACTTCACATCCCTTTCCTACACCCCCTCTTCTGTTGGGGGCACCTGTCTGAATTGCATCTCCCACCTCTTGATGCTGCCATCATTTAAACAAATCAAAACTGGGCCTGGGTAGGGACTCCACTCTGTGAAATCTGACCAAGCCAAGAAGAGGTTTAGAGCCAGCAAGGAAAAGCACAGGGGATGAGGAAAGCCAAGACAAAGCCAACCATGTCCTATCCCTGATGTACAGGGAAAGATCCATGTCCCCCCATGGCCACACTACCTGATTTGGCATGAACTTTTTTTTTTTTCGACAGAAAGCACATTACAAACAGAGGGGTGACCACCCTAGGAGGAATTTTCACAGTGACATTTTCCCACCCAGGGCTCCCCATACTTCCTGATCAAAGATGAAGATCTATTTCCCCAGTACAAAGTGATACCCAGTGAGAGGAAGACTAACCACATTGGCTAGTCCTTCCTGCCGTCTCATCACCAAGCCTCTTTGCATCTTTTCTTTCTTTCTTTCTTTCTTTCTTTCTTTCTTTCTTTCTTTCTTTCTTTCTTTTCCTTCTTCCTTTCTTTTTTCCTTTCTTTCTTTGAGACAGGATTTCCCCATGTAGCTCTAGCTGCCCTGTAACTATGTAGTCATAAATACACAATTACCATCTGTCTGTTACAAACAAATAATTTGATTTTAAAGAGCAAATAACAGGACCAGCTACTCCAAAAGCTGAAGAAGAAGGATCATGAGCTCAAGGCTATCCTGGGCAAGTTAACAAGAACCTGTCTCAAAACTTAAAAAAAAAATTAAAGACTGGATTGGCCATGTATAATAGCCCATGCCTTTAATCTGAGGACTCAGGAGACAGAGGCAGGAGGATCACTGTGAGTTACAGCTCATCCTGGTCTCCATAAGGAGTTCTAGGCCAACCATGGCTACATAGTGAAAGCATCTCAAAAAGAAAAAAAGAGTCCGAGGATGTGTAAATTCAGTGGTACCGTGCTTGCCTGGAAGCAATTCAGTGTAAATTCAGTGGTACCATATGCAGGAAGCTGTAGGTGCAACTTCCAGGACCACAAGAAGAAAAAGAGTAGATGCTATGGATCTGAGTAACAGCAACAGAATGAGAGGGCGCACAAAGTCCCTCGTGCCTGTGATGAAGGAAACTCGCTCTTCATAGACTCTAACCACAGCGGCCAGTTCAGCAGGCTGAGTCGAGGCAGCTGCTCTACAGGCAGTAAGGACATCTCCATTAAAGAGATGTTATTTCTAAGCCAGGCTGTGGTGGTGCACGTCTTTAGTCCCATCACTCGGGAGGCAGAGGCAGGCAGATCTCTGAGTTTGAGGGCAGCCTGGGTTCCACAGCGAGTTCCAGGGCAGCCAGGGCTACACAGAGAAAGCCTGTATTGAAAAACCGAAAAGAACAAAAATAAAAACAAAGCTATGTTATTTCTGGGTGAAGAGATGGCTCAATAGTTGTGGTGGTTAGAAAGAAAATGGCCCCCAAAGGGAGCGAAACTATTAGGAGGTGTGTGCCCTTGATGGAGAAAGTGTGTCACTGTAGGGGCTGACTCTGAGGTCTCTATTCTCTTGTTGTTGTTTGTGGGTTTTTTGTTTTGGTTTGGTTTTGGTTTTAGAGACAGAATTTCTCTGACTTTGGAGCCTGTTTTAGAACTTGCTCTGTAGACCAGGCTGGCTTCGAACTCACAGAGATCCACCTGTCTCTGCCTTCTGAGTGCTGGATTAAAGGCATGTACCACTACCACCCAATGAACCCACTGAGGAGTGGCCATCAACACTTCATTCTGCCCAGGATGATGGAAACCTTGGCTGCGAAGCCTGCCCTTCATGTTCTTGGAAGAAATAATGAACTGTGGGCTCAGCTCTGGAGCAAATTAAAAGCTATTCTCTGTGGCTCCCAACTCAGGATGCGTGTCTGAGATAGGAGAGAGCTGACACATCCATTATTGAAGTTTATCTTGTAGTGTTTGCCACTTCTCACAGAACTGACTGGGCCAAGCCACAACTGAGACCCTGAACGTCTCAGGACCCTTCCCTTTGCGTCACATCAGCTCTGTCTCCAGCTCCATCTCCAGGTCTGTCTGGCAGCCATGTGCCTGTTTACGTTTTTGTTGTTGCTGCTGCTAATGCTTCTTTCTATGCATGTGTGTACTTGCAGAGGTCAGAAGTCAGCCTTGGGTATTGTTCCCCAGATGCTGTCTACTTTATTTTGAGACAGGGTCTCTTTTTTTTTTTTTTTTGTAATTTTATTAAATTATAAAAAGTTTCCATTTACGCCCCTCCTCCCAACGCCCTCCCACTCCCCCCCTCCCTCTCCTCCTCCCTCTTTGTCCCCTAGGGAAGTCAGGGTCTCCTGCCCTGTGGGAAGTCCAAGTTCCTCCCCCCGAGACAGGGTCTCTTACTGAACCTGGAGTTCATTGCTTCAGGTAGATTGGCTGACCAGCAAGTCCCAGAAAATTGTCTATCTCTATCTCCCCAGTGCTGAGATTACAAATCCACAGCACCACACCTGGCTTTTGCTAGTATCTATCTATCTATCTATCTATCTATCTATCTATCTATCTATCTATCTATCTATCTTTATCTATCTATCTATCTATCTATCCATCCATCCATCTACCTTTCTACTTACCTATTTATTTATTTATTGAGGTAGGCTCTCACCATGTAACTCTGGCTGTCCTGGAACCCACTATGTAGACCAGGTCAGTCACCAACTCAGAGATCCACCTGCCTTTGCCTCCCGAGTGCTGGCATTAAGGGTGTGTTCCACTAGGCCTGGCTCATACCTGACTTTATTATGTGGGTTCTGGGGGATCAAACTTTGGCTGATGTGGCAGGCACTGTACCAGCTGAACATCTCACCAACCCTTACTACTGAGTTTTAAATAGTCTGTACGTCAGAATGTGAGTGACTGCATTGCCAACTCATAAAAGAAGACATGGACGCTCAGAGAGTTTGACTGGCCCCGACTTGCTCCAGGTCACACAGCCTGTGTCTGTGACGGAACTCAGTGACACTCCAGGTCTGGAACAGTAAAACCTAGAGGTGTCTGCCATCCTTCCAATGGACTCCATCAGAGGGGGTGGCGATTAAGCTTGAAACAGACAGATACAGTCCAGGCACAAAGAAGGAGTCCGACCTGTCGGTGGAGACTCCAGGGAAGTCTGGGCAGGATGATGGACAGCAAACATCACCAAGGCCTGAGATGAACTTAGCTCCACTAGGCCGACTCCTGTGACTTCTTCGACAACTGCAAGACACTGGAGAGTGCCAGACGGTGGTGGTGCACGCCTTTAACCCCAGAACTTGGGGAGCAGAGGTAGGTGGATCTCTGTGAGTTCAAAGCCAGCCTGGTCTACAAAGTGAGTTTCAGGACAGCCAGGGCTACATAGAGAAACCCTGTCTTGAGAGAGAGAAAGAAAGAAAGAGAGAGGGAGAGAGGAAAAAGGAGTCACAGCGGACACTGTGCATGGAGGTTCCATACATTACAAACTCCTTCCTATTATAGATGGGGGAGGGACGACATTAATTATTAGTAGAGTGAGGACCCAGGTTGTAGCTCAGTGGTAGAGCTCTTGTCTAACACACTGTGAGGCCCCAGTTCTAATGTATAGAGCACACATGCACACGCATGCGGCCTCCCCCCCACACACACACTCGATACATTGGAATCCAGAGACCTCAGGAATTACCACCATCAACCCTGACTTCTTCAGAGATGAGAAAAAGAAAAACCCAGAGGGCCAGACCTAAGACAGTGGCGGGACAGGAAGTAGAATGCAGACCTCCTCGTTCCCAGTCCCAGACAAGAACAGTGAGACTGTTGGGTGTGACTCAGCGGGAGAGCATGTCCTCCACATGCCAAAATACTTTGGCTTCCATCCCCCAACACCAGAAAAAAATCTCAGCGCTTCTGGGGCATCAAATCTCAGCCTCCCACTGTGGGCACTTGCAGCCATGGGCTTCCGGTCTCCAGCGTAGCGCGCAGGGCCAACTCCTCTGTGACCCTCTTTCACTTCACACTTTCACTTCAGGTAGAAACAAAAGCCTGTCACACCTTTTTCTGAGAATTCCCCAACCCCTAGGGTTTTTTTTCCCAGAAAGTCAGATGGAGTTAGGGTTCCAGCTATAGACCCAGATACCAGCCCATCAGGGACACACTGCCAGGAACCAGGGTTTCGGGGGTAGGCATTTCCAGAAGTGTGGAGGCCGGGGCTTTTGGCTCTCTTGGTTCTGACATCTATCCAGCATCGGATTGCAACTTACTCTTCATCAGGTTCTTGCACAGGCCTGCAGCTCTGAAGGTGTGGAATGACAATGACATGTTGATAAGATAGATGAATCACCAGGCGGTGGTGGCACAGGGCTTTAATTCTAGCACTCTGGAGACAGAGGCAGGCAGATCTTTGTGAGTTCAAGACCAGCCTGGTCTACAGAGCAAGTTCCAGGGCAGCTAGGGCTACACAGAGAAATCCTGTGTCTGTCTCAAACAAACAAAAAAAGAATTTCATTTATGGGCTGGAGAGTTGGCTCAGCAGTTAAAAGCACTGGCTACTTTTCCAGAGGACCGGGGTTCAGTTCCTAACACTCGCATGGCAGCTTGCAGCTACTGTTCCAGGGCTACTGACACTCTCACACCAATGCACACAAAATAAAATTAAGTAAGTTTTTTTTAAATGAGCATGCATGTGTATGTGTGTGTGCACGCACGTGTGTGTGTGTGTGTGCTAGTAACTGTTTTTGAGACCACATCTTACTGTGTAGCTGGCCAGAAAGTTGCCACATAGACCAAGCTGTCCTCGGACTCATAGAGATCCACCTGTCTCTGCCTCCCAAGTGGTAGGATTAAAGGAGTGTGCTACCATACCAAGCTGGACAGGTCTTATATACATTCTGAAAGGATCCAAAAGATCTTGCCAGCTCTCAGGTTCAAAAACTACAATGAATGTCCTCGGTCCACTTGGCCTCCCTAACAATGGGCGGGTAATGTTATTGTCACTTCGCAGATAGGGAAAGGGACTTGCCCAAAGTCACATGATGAAAGTGACAGAGATGGAACCAGAGCAGCTGTCTATGTGACAAACTCCAAGTCTCTGTGCATCAGGCACATCCTTAGGCCTTCTAGAAGATCAGTGTGGCCTCAAAAGAGTGTTTCTATCTGTGTGTGGATTGGGAGCTGGGTTTCCTGTTGCTCTGTGCTTCCTGTTGTTGCCTTGCTAGGATGTCCATCAAATGCATGCATTTCCTGCCCTTCCTCTGGATGGTAACAGTGGTCTGCGACCACACTGTGCCGGGTGAGGCACAGCCACCAGCCACAGCCACTACGGCCGCCGTCGTCTGTGCTTGCTCTGAATGGGGTAAGGCCTTCCCTAAAGGTTTTATTTTTATTTTTACTTTTTATTGATTTATTTATTTTTAGACAAGGTTTTGCTGTGTTGCCTAAGCTGGCCTTGAACTTGTTATGCTACCCAACATCAAGCTGCCAGCAGTTCCAGCCTTAGAACTCACTATGTCCTGACCTCAAGCACACAGCAGTCTGGCCTCAGCCCCTTGAGTGCTGGGATTACAGGTATGTACTACCATGACTCACAATCCCAGCCGGTACTTTTAGTTTATTCTTTTTATTTACTTATTATTAATTTGTGTGTATGTGTGTGTGGTGTATGTGTGGGTGGTGTATATGTGGGTGGTGCATCTGCACACATGTGTGTGGGTGCATGTACCAGATGTCGTGTGTCCTGTTCTATGGATCTCTAACTTATTCCCTTGCAACAAGGTCTCTGGCTGAGCCCAGAGCTGGCCTGGGGGTCAGCAAATTCCAGTGACCCTTCTGTCAGCCCCACCCAACGCTGAAGTTACAGGTGAGGCAGGTGTTTGGCCACTCCCAGCTGCTTATGAGAGTGCTGGGAGCTGAACTCAGGCCCTCAAGGGTATCTTGTCCACTAAACCACCGCTCCAGTCAGTTCCTTTGCAGCCTGAAGCTTTAGATTATGGTGTTGAGTAGATGAAATCACTTTATGGCTGGAAACAATATTTTAAAATTTGTATTAAATTTTTATTTATTCATTTTTGTGTGCATGTGTGTATGTATGTGTGTGAGCATGCCATAGCCTGCTTCTGGAGGTCAGGGGGCAACTTATGGGGGAGATAACTCTCTTCTTCCATTTTTATGTGGGTCCCAGGGATCCAGCTCAGGTTGTCTGACTTTCTGGCAGGCACCTTTACCAGCTAACCTGTTTCTCCACCCCGAGAACAATATTCCATAGAAATTAAATTCCATATTCTTGGTTATTGGAATAGTTGAAGGGAAGGCAGTGTGTAAAACTGGCCGATACATGCAGAATGTTCTGGGAGGCTGATGCATGGCTTCAGGCTCAGGAAGGTTCCATGGGGCAGAGGAACTAAAGGAAAGTCCAGGCAGAAAAAGCCAGGGCAAAGGCCCCGAGGTCAGAAGGCGAAGTTTCTCCCCAGAGGCAGCAGATGGCCAGCTGGGTGTGGGTTGGAAGGTAGAGCATCCTCCTCCTGGATGCTGCTGACATTTTTCCTGTGACCACACAGAAAAAGAAATAGAGGTGGGGGAAATATCTACAATGTATATTTGGCTAAAAGTGGTAGTGATTGTGTACAGCCTGAGAATTGATCCCCGAGGACCACAAAAATAGATAGATAGATAGATAGATAGATAGATAGATAGATGATAGATAGATAGATAAACAGAGCCAGGTGTAGCAGCACACTCCTTTAATCCTAGTACTTGGGAGGCAGAGGTGGGTGGATCTCTGAGTTCAAGACCAGCCTGGTCTACAGAGTGAGTTCCAGGACAGCCAGAGCTACACAGAGAAACCCTGTCTCAAAAAACTAAAAAAAAGAAAAAAAGAAAGAGAAAGAGAGAGAGAGAGAGAGAGAGAGAGAGAAAGAAAGAAAGAAAGAAAGAAAGAAAGAAAGAAAGAAAGAAAGAAAGATGAAGGGACTGGTGAGATGGCCCAAATGGTAATGTGCTTGAACTTTTTGACTTAAGTCGAAAAAAACAAGCATTAAAAAAAAATAAAAATGAATGAATAAACAAAGCAACTAACCATGATGTCTGCCCATCATTGTTAACACTTCGGAGCCAGAGACAGAAGGATGCCTAGGACTTGGCGACCATCCAGTCTAGCTGAATTGATGAGCTCCGGGAGAGAGTCCCAGCCTCAGAAAAATAAGGTGGAGATCGGTTGAAGAAAGCATTGGCTATGGACCCCTAGCCTCCACACACATAAGCTCGGGCATGCTCATCCACACAAAAACTCAGACAGGTACAGGAGAGAAACAGGAAAAGTGAGCACGGCATGGTAAGCCAGGCCTTCACTGCAGCCCTTGAGAGGCAGAGGCAAGCAGATCCCTGTGAGTTGGAAGCGAGCCTGGTCTACACAGAGAGAGCCTGTCTCAAGGAAATTAAAAAATGGAATGTATTCGTGAGTTTATCACCTCACCACAGCAGCTGACTTCCTCTGCTCCTTCCTAGGCTGGATTTCCTTCTGCTAAAAAGATAAGGGACGTTTCAGCAACAAAGGTCTCTTAGCAGACAGTTTTATTTTGGGGGTTGTTTGTTTGGTTTGTTGGGTACAGATATAATTAGCCCTGGCTGGCTTCGAACTCCATACATACTGCAAGTTATTTATTTATTCATTCGTTTATTTTTGAGAAGAAGTCTTCAAGGCGTCAGGGCTGAGCCTGAACTCAGTGTCATCTAGACAGGCCTTTAGGTCGCTGAAGTCACACACCTAATCACCAGGAGTCCTAAACCTCCTATGTTGCTTAATTTTAAAATCGTATTTGTTGCCTTTATTAATCCCAGCACTCGGGAGCCAGAGGCATGAGTTCCAGGCTGGCCTGTCTACAGAGAAAGTTTCAGGCCAGTCAAGGGTACATGGAGAAACCTGTCTCAAGAAAACAAAACCCAAATCACATTTATTTATTTATCTATTCATTCTTTCATTTGTGTGTGTGACATACATGTGTGTGCACGTATGTGTACATGTGTTTGTGTGTGTGTACATGTGTTCATGTGTATGTTTGTGTGTGTGCCAGGGTTGGGGAGATGCAGTGATTTAGTGCCTTTCTCCACCTGCTGAGCCATCTCATCCACCTCCGGTCCTCTTTTAAGTTTGTTTGTTTTTTAAGTTTTTTGGTTTGTCTTTTTTTTTCTTTTTGTTTTATGAGACAAGGTCCTGACATGCTTTGTGTTGTGTAGATCAACTGATTTTGAACTCACAGACCTGCCTCTACCCAGAGAGTGCTGGTTTAAAGGCATGAACCATCATGCCCAACTAAAGATTCATTTATTTTATTTTATGTCTATAAGTGTATTACCTGCATGTGTATAAGTGCACTGTGGAGGCCAGAGAGGATATCAGATCCCCTAGAACTGGTGGCCTGTGGCTGTGAGCCTCCATGTACCCTCAGGTCCTCTGTCTGGACAGCTCTTAGCCTCTGAGCCATCTCTCCAACCCCTTCTTTTATTTTTATTTATTCAACGTTTTCATTCACGCTTTTTGGTTTCTTTTTTTGTTGTTTCATCGAGACAGGGTTTCTCCATATAGTACTGGTTGTCCTGGAACAAGATGTAGTGGCATTTCAATTGTATCTTAATAAATAAAGTTTGCCTGGGGATCGGGAAAGTAAAACAGCCACACTGGCCAGCCTTACAGACCAGGCAGCAATGGCATGCACCTTTAATCCCAGTAGCCACACTAGTGTGCCATAGAAACCAGGTGGTAAAGGTGTATGCCTTTAATCCCAGAACTAGAGAAGATTATAAAACAGGAGGAGACAGCTCTCATATACAGTCTTTTTCTGAGTGAAATTCCTGGAGGCAGGATTGCCATTTCAGACTGAGGTCGACGTAAGAGCCAGTGACTGACTGTTCTGCTTTACAGACCTTTAACCCCAATTTCTCTCTCTGAGTTTTTATTAATCATGCTTCAACTAGTTCTGTAGACCAGGCTGACCTCAAACTCACAGCGATCTGCCTGCTTCTGCCTCCTGAGTGCTGGGATTAAAGGCATGCGCCACCACCACCTTGCCCTTCTTTTAATTCTTTATAAAGTATATTCAAGAGTTATATAAAACTCTTGCAAATGTAACCCTACCAGCTGACACATCTGCTAACTCTTGCTTACTCATTGCTTATCCCTGCGCTTATGAATTCAAATTCCATGGGCCTCGAGATGGAAAAATCCCACATTATCTGTTTAGGAAATTTGTCTTTCTAGAGGAGTATTTAGTTTGCTTTCTTATTAAGTTTAATAATGTCTCACACAATGTTTAGTTGTCCTAAATATTTTTCTTCAATATTCAATAAGTACTTATATTAAAAATGATTATCTGATATTCAAATTAACAGGACTTTTATATCTTATATGTAGTACAGTTGATTTTTTAACATTACTTATTTATATTTATTTATTTAGTACACAGTGTTCTGTCTGCATGTATGCCTGCAGGTCAGAAGAAGGCACCAGATCTCATTACAGATGGTTGTGAATCATGGGATTGCTGGGAATTGATCTCAGAACCTCTGGAAGAGCAGACAGTGCTCTTACCTGCTGAGCATCTCTCCAGCCCCCATACAGTTGTTTCTCTAACAGAGCTTCGCATAGCCAAAGATGACTTTGACCTGATCCTCCTGCTGTCACCCCCCAAGTGCTGGGATTACAGGTGTGCGCCACCACACCCGGTTTATACAGTGCTGGAGACTGAACCCAGAACTTTGCCCATGCTAGGCAAGCTACAATCCCTACATGAGTATTAAAAAAATTGTTTTTGAGACAGAATTTCACTATGTAGCCCAGATTGGTCTCCATTTCTCAGAGATCTGCCTTCCTCAGCCTCCCGAGTGCTGGGATTAAAGGCAGATATCATCACACTCCACAAAATCTTGCATCTTTTAGAGATTATCTTCCCAACACTTGAGGAGAAGTCCAAGCTATTGTTTCCCATCCCCAAATAGTTGTTAGCTTTTAGTATCTTACCAAAACTGGGACGACAACAGCAACACACACTTATACACACACACACACACACACACACACACACACACACACACACAAGACAGGTTTGGTGGCACATGCCTGTCTGTAATCCCAGCTGCTCCGGAACCTGAAACTTGACTTCAAGGCTGCCTTGTTGAGACCACGTCTCAAAAATGAAAAGAGAAAGTAGACCAGCAAGATGGCTTAGTGAAAAAAAGAGTTTGGTGTGCAAGTCTGATGTCCCGAGTTCAATTCCCAGAACCCACTCCTGAACTCCACACTCACTCTGTGGCACACTCATGCCTGCAGATACATGTCACATATGAGCGTATACACGCATGTGCACGCACATGCACACACACACACATACATACCAAAAATAAGTAAAAGAAAAATAATATCCCTACATCTTCACTTCCCCTTCATCCTGGTTTTGTTATCTTGGCTGTTGGCCCCAGGGATTCGCCTTGGTTTTTAAAAGGAAGTTTTAGGATCTGTCTCTTTAGAAAACAAAAGACTAAAAATCTGGCAGGTCACTTCTGCTGCTTGGAAACTGTAAGTCCTGGCTTGGAGGAGAGGCTAAATGCTTGACAACAAAATATAAATTGATATTTATAGCACGTGGGTAAATGTTTGATTAGTGTCGGTTCTCCGGGGAGGTCATCACTGTTAACATCCCAAGACTCTTCTCTCCCCATCTACAGCCAAGTCTTCTGGGCCAGACCTGGTAGAAGCCAAAGCCCATCCATGGAGGGATGCTGGGGAACAGAGGTGACCAATGGCTCAGAGAGCGGCTCGGAATTCAACCCAATGAAGGATTACATGATCCTGAGCGATGCCCAGAAGATTGCTGTGGCCGTGCTGTGCACCCTGCTGGGCCTGCTAAGTGCCCTGGAGAACATGGCTGTGCTCTACCTTATCCTGTCCTCCCAGCGGCTCCGCAGGAAGCCCTCGTACCTCTTCATTGGCAGCCTGGCTGGGGCTGACTTCCTGGCCAGCGTCATCTTTGCCTGCAACTTTGTCATTTTCCACGTCTTCCACGGTGTTGATACCAAGGCCGTCTTCCTGCTGAAGATCGGCAGTGTGACCATGACCTTCACAGCCTCTGTAGGCAGCCTGCTGCTGACCGCGGTTGATCGGTACCTATGTCTGTGCTACCCACCTACCTACAAGGCTCTAGTCACCCGTGGGAGGGCACTGGTGGCCCTGTGTGTCATGTGGGTCCTCTCGGCATTGATCTCCTACCTGCCACTCATGGGATGGACCTGTTGCCCTAGTTCCTGCTCTGAGCTTTTCCCACTCATCCCCAATGACTACCTGCTGGGCTGGCTCCTATTCATTACCATTCTCTTTGTTGGCATCATCTACACCTACGGGTATGTTCTCTGGAAAGCCCACCAACATGTAGCCAGCTTGGCAGAGCACCAGGACAGGCAGGTGCCTGGGATAGCTCGGATGCGGCTCGATGTGAGGTTGGCCAAGACCCTGGGGCTGGTACTGGCTGTTCTGCTCATATGCTGGTTCCCTGCCTTGGCTCTCATGGGCCACAGCCTGGTCAGCACGCTGAGTGACCAGGTCAAGGAAGCCTTCGCCTTCTGTTCCATGCTGTGCCTGCTTAACTCTATGATCAATCCTATCATTTATGCCCTGCGAAGTGGAGAGATCCGCTCTGTTGCCCAGCACTGCCTGGTAGGCTGGAAGAAGCATCTACGAGGGCTCGGGTCTGAGGGAAAAGAAGAAGCCCCAAGGTCCTCAGTTACAGAGACAGAGGCTGATGTGAAAACCACCGTGGTGCCTGCTTCCAGAAGTCCAGGCTGCTCCAATTGCTGATGGTACCTAGTTTCCTATTAGAAACAGCCTGCGTGAGGAATCAGTTTTCTCGCTCGAGGAGAGAGGAGTCCCAGACCCTGCGTCCTTCTGGAACCAGCTCTAGGGGATTAAACACAGACCCCCTTTGGCCAAAGAGTACTGGGCTTCACGGTTGGAGGGTGACCTGGCCATGCCTACCTGCACAGTCTATGGAAAGTGGGCTGTGACGAGACAGGTTCTGTTTACATCAAGTCAGGAAACCCTTCTGACTCCAGAGATCAAGAAGCAAGGGGGGCCTCCAGGGACTGTAATAGAGGACTCAGAGGTGGTGTGAGAAGATGAAAGACCTGTTCTCCTGGGATCGCAGAGTACCCTGGCCAGTGTGGCCACTGCCTGCAAGTTCATCAGTGCCCATGGTTGCCATGGTGCGGATTCCAGGCTGTCCTGCTGATGATTGGCAGCGAGACCAGCTAGCTCCGGTTCCCTCTTCATGCTTTTGGATTCTGTGACTGTAAAGCTCTGTGAGGCCCCACCTTTAGGCGACCCTGGCCTCTTGAGGATCAAGAATTGTGTGTGCTGAGGCTCAAGGATGTTGACTCAGACAGTCACAAGCCATCAGCTCAGAGTATCTTGTTGGGCAAGGGCCCTCTTGACACCCTGATAAGCCTTGAAGTCATGTGACTTTAGGTCCTTGGGGACCCACTGGAGGTTCAGTCTGGAGGGACCTGTATTGCTCTTGTCACAGCCTGCTGTGTCTAGTGTAGCAGTATCCCTGGCTAGCCTAGCTCCAGGGCAAAGCAAGATATTCACAAAGATTCTCTGGGTCCTAGACTGTTTCCAGTGATGCTCACCTCTGCCTCCTTGTCTCTTCCATACTCTGGTCCTGGGGGACAAACAGAAGGAGCTGAGGAGGAGAGACTTCCTGCTGTGGTCCAGACACAGACTGACGTCCTCTGTCCACAGCCCCATGCTATGTCCCTGGTACACGCTATGTACCTGAATTTTACCTTCACTAAGGGACATCACCCTGCTGGTGACAGGAGGGATAACACTGGGGACCACAGGCACAGTGAAAGGAAAGCTATCCATTAATGTCATTTAATACATTAAAAACCACATGCTCCCTGTCCGTGTGCTCTTTAATCTGCATCATAAATATGTGCACACCAGGTTTTGTGCTGGTCCTAGATGTCTAGCCACGACAAACCCCATCGTTGCGGACCAGTCTTGACAAAAATGCCACTTGCCAGGGTAAAGAATATAAAGACATGAATGAAAATAATAAAATGGAGAAACATACAGGTTAGTATCAGGAGGGAATTCCAGTGAGTACCGAAATTCGCCCGCATTAAATTTCCAACTGCTTAAAATACCCCTGACACCAAAAGGTAGGAGTAAGACAAAAGATTGTATTAATATGATAGCTGGGTGGTGGCGGCACATGCCTTTAATCCCAGCACTCGGGAGGCAGAGGCAGGCAGATCTTTGTGAGTTCGAGACCAGCCTGGTCTACAAGAGCTAGTTCCAGGACAGGCTCCAAAGTTATAGAGAAACCCTGTCTTGAAAAACCAAAAAGAAAAAAAAAAAAGACCCATGAAACAAGGAAATGAACAGACCAGATGAAGGTCATGAAGGTCATGGGCTACAGTTAAACATTCTATTGCTAGAACAAAACAAGTCACCCACACACCCTAGATCAAACTATTCTGTAGTAGGCAAACCCCTCCCTAGGTGGAATCCAAAGTTATCCCTAAAGGAGCCAGGTCCCTAGCTGGACCCTTAGATTCTTGTTTGAGATGGGAACAGGTCTACTTCTCTATTCCTGGAGTACAAGACCTGGTTATTAGCCACACCTGTTGACAATAACCTTGAGCGAGCAGAACTCTCTGAGCTCCCTCTAGGTGGGACCTTTGTTTGAAGTGGAAGTGTGACAGTCTTGAAGGAACAAGGGGCAAGTCTCAACTCTCTGACCTTTGGTCAAAGTGGAAATAGGCTCACATTTTCGGGCCTCCACACTCGCCGTCTACATTCTAATAGGAAGTCAGGGAAGCTGAGCCTGGTGGCACAGGCCTACTCATTCCAGTTCCTTTAGAGGCTGAGGCAAGAAGATTCTAAGTTCAAAGCCTGCTTGAGCTGTACACGGAGTTCAAGTTCAGTTTAGGCAAATTGGTGGGACCCGTGTCAAAATAAAAATAAACAAAGGACTGGAGCTGGGCATAGTGGTGCACAGATATAATCCTGGTGTTCAAGTGGAATTGCTGAGAGTTTAAGGCCAGCCTCACCTAAGCGAGACACTTTTTTTTTCTCTTTTTCTTCTTTTCTTTATTTTATTTTATTGTAGGAGTGTTTTACTACATGTATGTCTGTGCACCACATGTGTGCCTGGGGCTCACAGAGACCAGCAAAGTGATTCAGATCCCTTAGAACTGGTGTTCCAGACTGTGATGAGCTGCCATGTGGGTGCTGGGAATCAAACCTGGGTCCTCTGGAAGAGCAGCCAGTGCTCTTAACCTCTAGCCAACTCTCAGGCCCTGAATCCAGCTCTTAAACACAGTCTACTTTTGCTTTAAGTAGAGAGGCAGAGTTTATGAAGAGGAAGGACAAGGCAAGGGCCCTGGGGAGAAATGAGAGACAGCCCTTTTGTTTAATTGATGACCCAACCAGCAGACAAGATTTGCCCATTACCCGGAGTGCAAAAAACTCAGACTCCCTAATAGTGCAGGTCTGTCCACTCTGCTACAGACCCTCCCACAGGCCTCTGCAAGAGGACCTGTTTCTCTGTTAGGTCAAATGAAGGTCACGGGGTCCCATTTTGTTCTCCCCAAGACAAGTTCTGTGCATCAAAAGTTACTGCAAATTCTTATCACTATTTGGAAGGATGAGGGGAGAAGCTGATTTTTTTTTAAGTCCTCTGTGCTTAGTGTTTTAGATCATATTTCAACTTGGGAAGGAAGAAACAGAAAATACCCTATGCTTTCTTATTACTCCCCAAAGGAGGAAGTGTTTGGTCTGTCAACACAAGCCCTGATTTTCTTCAAGGTGCCAGACAGAGTAGGTGGAGGGAGGGTTTCCACTGCTGTGAATTCTCTGGGACTACCTCAGGCCTATACTTTCATCACCCCCTGTCCTTCTCCTCATCTTTGTTCCCTCCTCAGTACGTGGGGAAAGATAGGAAGAGGGTGCCATCAAGAAGCAGTAAAGCCTTTTATTGCTCTGACATGTGGTGGTTGTCTCAGCAACCGTGGAGACGGTTGTGCCGCATGCACCACCTGACTTCTGGCTTGCGTACTTCCTGCAGCTATGGACACACACACACACACACACACACACACATACACACACACACCCCACTGGGCATGTGCTGACTGTAGAGGAACCAGGTGGCTTAGCAAACCTTGCAGATGTTACCGAGGCAAGAGGATCTCTTGGCTCTCAATTTTCTGGCCCTGCTATTCTAAAACTCGTGTTTCAGTGGGTGCTCTGTGGGCTTGTTTGGTGGCACCGGACTAAACCACAGGCCTTCCAACATGCTTAATATCCTGAACTACACCCCAGCTCCTGGGGGTAGACACTTAAGCTCTCTGAGTGTCCCCAGGAATTTAGAGGTGCAGCTCAGTCCTTTGCATGGGCAAATCTCTGGGGTTCAAAAAGCCAGTACTGCGTAAAACCAGGAGTGGTGGTGCCTCCCCAACCAGTAATCCTGGCACTCAAGTGGTAGAAGCAAGAGGATCAGTAATTCAAGGTCATCTAGCTGTAAGTTCGAGGCCAGCCTGAGCTTCATGAGAGCCCCCCATCTCAAAATAAATTTAAGTTACAATTTAAAATTAAATTAAAAAGCTTAAATGCCTCATAGTTTTAAGAGTAAGTTCAATAAATAAAAGACAGGCCAAAATAACTACATCTGCCCTTCCTCTTTCAGCACCCATTTTTCCTCATAAGGTTCCTTCTTACTGTGTTTCTAGCTCGTTATTTCTAAATCTCTTATGCAAGTCTGCAATCGGCTAAGCGCCACCTGCCGGCTGAACGTATAGCGCAAAGATACCATGGGTCTTAATTAGCCACTAAATAAAACAATCTGGTTTCATTCTTCTCCTGAGGATCGGTGCAGTAACGTGGGCTACTCCCTGTTCTCCGCGCACCCTGGGTCTTTCCCGATTAACGGAACCGGGCAATTAAGTCCTTAAGGGGAGACTATGGAGTTTAAATTCAATAGATCATAGCTGTCAACGCCTCTTTGCGCCCTTCTCTCTCTCTCAACGCCAGAGGGCGCTCCAGAGATGGAGCCTCAGACGGCACGCTGGTCCGCAAGTCTGATCCCGCCCCTTTTCCCATCTGAGCCAATCGTTACTCAGAGAGGCGGAGCTACTGGCGGGCGCCTGCGCGTTATGAGGGACGGGGGACAAACAAGGAAGCAGGGATGTGGGAGCTGAGTAGTGAATGGCGGGCGGTGGGTTTCACGCTGTTGCTGTTGCTGGCTGTTGCGGCCCAGGCAGTGGCCCGGGCTCCGGGCCGCTACACCCCGGACTGGAAGAGCCTGGACTCTCGGCCACTGCCGAGATGGTTTGACGAGGCCAAGTTCGGGGTGTTTGTGCACTGGGGGGTCTTCTCAGTGCCTGCCTGGGGCAGCGAGTGGTTCTGGTGGCACTGGCAGGGCGAGCGGCTGCCGGCCTATGAGCGCTTCATGAAAGAAAACTACCCGCCCGGCTTCAGCTACGCCGACTTCGGACCGCAGTTCACGGCGCGTTTCTTCCAACCGGACCAGTGGGCCGAACTCTTCCAGGCTGCCGGGGCCAAGTGAGTGCGGGTCGGGCGCGAGGCGGGACGCGGGCAAGCCCACGACCGGGGCTGCCTGACCTTGGAAGGCCCCGCACCCCGCGTTCTGCATCCTGGAGGATGGAGCATTGATGCTAAAGAAGAGAATCCAGCCGGGGATTAGTTTTAAAAAGAAAGGCGGGAAAGCACTGGGTACATCACCTGTGTGGATAGAGGCTTGAGCCAGGTTACACCCGGTGTCTCTTCTACAAGGGCCAGAACACAGCCTGAATTCTTGTCAGTGGCCTGGAGTTGTGGACCTGGACCCTAGGCTACCTGTGGCGTCCGTGGAAGCTTGTAAAAAGGAGCTACCTGAGTTCCTTGTAGCCCTACCTCTCTAATTGGAGAAGGAAGGATGGGAGTTTTGAGGTACTCTCTGTTTGGGTTCCCCCCTCACCTTCCCTTCTCACTTCCTTGTAGTAGAGCTTCAAGGATGTAGGGATGTGTTTGGGCAGAGCCCTCTAGAAGTACATTTTGAGAGCCCTAAGCCAGAGGATTTTGGCTGACTTCGGGACCCATGGGTTTGGCCACTGGGGGCAGCTCGTGGCTTGGAGCGATCCCGCAGTTGTTTCTTCTGCCATCCTCCAGGTTCAGTTTGCTCTGGGCCTTGGGTTTTCTTGTACTGAGGGTTTTCTTGTAGCTGTGTATAACTAGGCACTTAGTATTTGCCATTGTAAGCCTGATGACAACCGCCTTTAGTCCCAGTGCTCGGGAGGCATAGGCAAGTGGATCTTGTGAGTTTTGAGGCCAGCCTGGTCTACAGAGTGAGTTCCAGGACACCCAGAGCTGTTACACAGAGAAACCCTATCTTGAAACCCTCCCACCCAAAACAGGAAGCTGTCTTCTCACCATCTCGGAGATCCGGAACTTAAAATGTTGGATTTCAGACTCCCTGTATTATGGATGAGGTGGCTAATGCAGAGAGGAAAGAGCCTGGTGTCCTGGACTGAAGATCTTGTGATCTGGAAACGAAGGCTCTTGATCACTGCACCCAGGGTCTGCAAGCCATACACAGAAAGAGTAGTTATCTGTTGATGAGGTCGATGAGTGAGAAGGACTTTTTTTTTGGTTTTTCGAGACAGGGTTACTGTGTAACAGCCCTGACCGTCCTGGAACTAACTCTTGTAGACCATGCTGGCCTTGAACTCACAGAGATCCGCCTGCCTGTGGGATGAAAGGCGTGCCGCCACCACCCCTTGAGAGAAGGGCTTTTATATTTCAGAAGGACTTTTTAAAGAGGAATGTTTGTGTGAGCCTGAGATAACTGACGCTGGCTGATTTCCAGGAGTCTCCACACCTGCCCTGCCCGTGATGAAATCACATGTACATGTTATCTTTCTTCTTTCTTCTTCTTTTTTTTTTTTGCCATAAAAAGCAGACATTGAATGAATTGGTTATCTCTTATCTCAGCAGTTGCCTTTTCAGCCCCAGACATTTGAGTCTCAGTCACCTCCTTGAATGAAGGGTGATTCCACAGTATTGGTAAAACAAGCAGCTTCCGTTTGTCACCTGCTCTTGCCAATAGAGCAGAGCAGAGGGTTGAGAAAAAGTTCATGCCTGGAAGGGTTGAGTCTGTGCGCTAAGGTGCAGAGTTTTTCTCTTGCCACCCTTCCCTCTCTGGGCATCCAGTGCCTGCTTACATTCTTGAGTCATACCTACGAGGGGACATTGTCACCCTAAAAGCATCTCCCAGTCCCTGTACATTTCCTGTAATGGAGATCTTCCTGTTGTGCCAGGCAAGGTCAAGGTTGTGGCCACTGCCCGCTTCCTTTGTCCTAACTTGGTTTTCACGTTTGTTTCTAGGTATGTGGTTCTGACCACAAAGCATCACGAAGGCTTCACAAACTGGCCAAGTCCTGTGTCCTGGAACTGGAACTCTAAGGACGTGGGGCCCCATCGGGATTTGGTTGGCGAGTTGGGAGCTGCTGTTCGGAAGAGGTGCGTGTCTGCTGACAGCCAGCCACTCTCCCCTCTTTCCCATCCGTCCCGCCAGTCCACCATCCTTGCTTCCTCCTGTTTGTCACCTGGGGTCATATTTAGCCAGTGAGAAGATGGGCTCCCAGACTTGGGGTTTGAGACTGGCAGTTTTCACAGGACCAAAGGTAATACAAGAGCCATGCCGTGGTGGTGCACACCTTTAATCCAAGCACTCGGGAGGCAGAGACAGGCGGATCTTTGTGAGTTCGAGACCAGCCTGGTCTACAAGAGCTAGTTCCAGGACAGGTTCCAAAGCTACAGAGAAACCCTGTCTCGAAAAACAAAAAAGGTGATGCAAGAAAAGCAGGACGCCTGGCATAGACTGTGATGGTCCATCCGCAGCCTGCAAGGGGTGTCCATGAAAACTGGCAGGATGCAGGCTTTTCTTTCTCTTTGTTTTTTGTTTTGTTTCATCTACCTATTTGTGTGTTTATTTATTTAGTGTCTTTTTTTTTTCCAAGACAGGATTTTTTTGTGTAACCTTGGTTGTCCTGAAACTAGCTCTGTATTCTAGGCTAGCCTCAAACTCACAGAATCGTCCTGCCTCCACCTCCTAAGTGCTGGGAGCGCTGGGATCAAAGGTGTGTGCCCCCACTTCCCAGCGTAGATCCCTTTCCAGCATGAGATGGCCCAGGGAGTGGATCTCACCTTTCGCCACCAGCACCCAGCCAGCACAGAGCTGTTGAGGCCTGAGGGCAAGCTCTGCTAACAGCAAATCAAAACTAAAGAGGGAGGCACACACTGTTCTTCAGCCAGCACTCTGATGTTTGTCACTCACTAGGAAGGACTAGTCCAAGCTGGTGCTATGTGCAGGTGACTCTAGCACTTGGAAGGCAAAGGCAGGAGAGTCAGGAGTTCAAGGCTGGCTGTAGGTGTGTACTGAGTTTGAGGCTAACCTAAACTACACGAGACTATGTCTCTAAAAGATGAGTAATAATAGAGACTAGCTTCTCAACAGGAAAGCAGTAGAGTGTGGCAGAGCAGGGTGGCTTTGGGGTCTGGTGCCGACGTGCAAACTCAGGACCTCAGAATACTAAGCGGTTGCTCTCCAGCTGAAAGTGTAGTTACTTCTGTGTCAGTGACCACCATGCTTGTCCGACAGAAACAACTTCAGGAAGGGAAAGCTGATTTTTAGAGGGTTTCAGTCCACCATGGTGGGGCAGCTGCAGTCAGGACAGCCATACACGTAGTAGAGATTGTTTATTCACCTAACATGACTATAGGGACAGACAGGAGCGAGAGGCAGTATGTCCTCAGAGCCCCCGTGACTGACTCACCTCTGCAAGCACCTTCCACCTTGTTAAGGTTCTGCAGATTGCCAAAAATAGCACCAGCCAGGGAACAAGCCATCAAGACTTGAGCCCGGAGGGCAGGGGAAGCCATAACACAGAGTCCCATCCCCAGCCACCGCAGGGAGTGGGATTTGGACTCAGGTATTCAGGTTTGGAACCCTGCTAGCAGCGATGCTTTGCCTCTAAGAAAAATGACTTACACCGTGACACTGTGTGATGTCCTGTTGTGGGCTAGGCTGACTGTGTAAATGTGTAAATCATCGAGTCTGATTGGAACCCAGCTGTGCCGGTGTTACACACGCCCAGGACTGTCTCCTGGAGCATGTTGAGAGTCCAGCGGACTACCTGGGCCTTAAGAATGCATTTGCTGACTCTTGTTCCCTGCTCAGTGTTCTGGGCCCTATGCTGCACGTGGTAAAAAAAATCCTGCAGTAAATGTCTGTCTGATCGTAGACGTAGACCAGGCATAGACTTTGGAAGCAGCAGTTTTCTTCTGGTTTGGTTTGGTCTTTCGAGATGAGACCTTGCTCTGTATCCTCAAAAAGCTTGGAACATGCTATGCAGACCAGGCTGCTTTCTCTCTTGAAGCAATCCTCCTGCCTCTGCCTTTCAGGTACTGGGGCTCTAGGCCTGTGACACCATGCCCAGCCTCAACAGGCTGGATTGGTAGCTTCTCTGTAAGTGGTTAGTTCCCGAATCACATGCTGAAATGCCCCCTTCAGTTCTTCCTTATCTGTGCCTTGCTGTGTTATTTTCTTTATTGCCTGCATTATGGCACTGTGTCTTAATTGAACTGTAGTAATTATACGTCTCTATGAGGCACAGTATGACGTGCTTGCAGGATATAATGAGCAAATCGGGCTAATTAACATTTCTAGCTCCTTAATCATTTGTTATTTCTTTGTGTTAGGAACCTTCAAACTCCTAGTTCTTTAAAAAAATATTTAGTAGGGGTGAGGGTATAGTTTATGACAGAATGCTTGCCTGACATAGGTGAGGCCCTAGGTTGGATTCCCAGCACCAAAAAAAAAAAAAAAAATGAAGTAAGATTTTTTGGTTTTGGTTTTTTGAGACAGGGTTTCTCTGTAGCTTTGGAACCTGTCCTGGAACTAGCTCTTGTAGACCAGGCTGGCCTCAAACTCACAGAGATCCACCTGCCTATGCCTTCCAAGTGCTGGGATTAAGGGCAAGAGCTACCACCGCTTGGCTTTTTAAAAAATTTATTATGTATATAATATTCTGTCTGTGTGTTTGCCTGCAGGCCAAAAGAGGGCACCAGACCTTACAGATGATTGTGAGCCACCATGTGGTTGGTGAGAATTGAACTCAGTGAGCCCTTTGGAAGAGCAGACAGTGCTCTTAACCACTGAGCCATCTCTCCAGCCCAGAAGTAAGATTTTAAAATATGAAATAAATACCAAGTATGGTGGCACATGCCTTTAATTCCAGCACTTGGTAGGCAGAGGCAGATGGGATCTTTTTGAGTTAGGGACTAGCTTGGTCTACATAGGCAGTTCTAGACCAGCCAGGACTACGTGGTGAGATCCTGTCTCAGAGAGAGAAAAAGAGAGAGAGAGAGAGAGAGAGAGAGAGATTAGATAAGAAAGGATCTCAAGCAGATTAGGCTGACCTTAAACCCACTTGGTAGGCAAAGATTCACCTTGAACTCTTGATCCTCCTACCGCCCCCCCTTTAAGTTCTGCCACACCACACCCAGCCTGATTTTTCTCTGCCTAATGCCAGCCACTGCTGTATTTTTTTGTTTAAGGAATATACGCTACGGCCTGTACCATTCGCTCCTGGAGTGGTTCCATCCACTCTACCTACTCGACAAGAAAAATGGTTTCAAAACTCAGCATTTTGTCAGTGCGAAAACAATGCCAGAGCTGTACGACCTTGTTAACAGGTGAGACAGGGCCCCAGGCCTGAGGGCTGTGCTGGAAGTCAGCTCCACGCTGGGGCGCTGTTAATGGGCTCCAGCTGCAGGCTGCTGCCTGAGAAACACTCAGAAGGCATCAAAAAAATAAAGGTGGCGTTTGCATTCATGCAAAGCACGTTTCCTCTCCCACCTCTAAGAACTTATGAACTGTGGTTACTTACTAAGCTGCTGCTGTCACTGGGGACCCAGGTGGCTGTGAGGCAAAGCTTGCCCTTCAGCACCCTCCTCCCTTGCCGGTGTCCCTAGTCAGGACCTTGGAGAGGGACACTGGCGACTTCACCATCAGAAGCTTTAACTGGAGCGACATCCTGAGCACAGACCCTGCTCACTTAGAACTGTCATGTCTTGTCTGGGCTCAGATCAGTATGCAGAATCCCTCTGTTAGGTTTCCTGTCTCTTTAGTTTCTGCATTGTCATCTTCATGGTACTTTCCCATCTAGAGACATCTTTTCTGTTTGCTGGGCTGGGAATGGAACCTACAGCCTCACACGTGGTTGGCAAGAGCCCTACCACAGAGCCACTCTCCCTGCTCTGAGTTTTAAATGCTTGTTGCAGAAGTCTGTCCATAAGACTGGACTAGATATAGATTTAGATAGCAAGCTGTTCCGATCCTGTGTCTTCCAGCTACAAGCCCGACCTGATCTGGTCTGATGGGGAGTGGGAGTGTCCTGACACGTACTGGAACTCCACAGCTTTCCTTGCTTGGCTCTATAATGATAGCCCTGTCAAGGTAGGTGATGTCTAACTTATGTAATGGGCATGGTGATGCTTACCTGTTGTCTCAGCTCTCAGTAGGCTATGAAAGGTGGAATTTGCAGCCATCCTTCTGCCTCAGCTTCTCAAGAGCTGGGATTATAGGTGTATGGCACCACTCCTAGCTTTCTATCAAATTTGAAAGGGTACTTAGCTAGCTAAACCCTCCCCACAGTCAGTACACCTAGCTAGTACATTTGCATGTTGTGTATACTGTGTGCATGCAAATGCCCATGAGGCCAGAAGAGGGCACCAGATCTCCTGGAACTGGAGTCAAGGTGGTTCTGAGTCAACATGTGCATGCTGGAAAACAAGCCCAGGTCTACTTCCAGAGCAGTAACTGCTCTTAACCACTGAGCCATCTTACCAGACCCCCATTTTTAAAGGTTATTTTATGTTATTATGTGTATGGGTGTTTTGCCTGCATGAATTATGTGTGCAGGAGCCAGTGGAGGCCAGGAGAAAGGTGTTGGATCCCTTGGGACTGGAGTTATGGACAGTTGTGAATGACCATGTGGGTGCTGGGAACCAAATCCACATCCTTTGTAGGAACGTCAGGCACTCTTAACTGTTGAGCCATCTTTCCCATCCCACGAGTGCTAGAGAGTTCTCATGCTTTCACGGCAAGCACGTCACCCCAAGTCATCTCCTGAGCCCCCCTGCATATGCACTTCCTCTGTACCTCTATCAGCATTAGAAGCTGTGTGCCTCTGTCATTCAACATTGTAGGACGTTTGTCAGCAGCTCTGGCTTCTCCACTGGGGAGCAGTACCGCTCTCTTTGGGACAGCCAAAACTGTCTAGTTTCCCATGTTTGCCCTTTAAAGCAAAATAGCATGGGGAAAAGACTCTAGTGTAGTCCACTGTTCTTCTTCTGAACAGACTGTCACCAGACGCATCTGCATTGCATTGAGGAGCCAGGAGGTGGTGCCCCATGACCCCATTCTCTTCCTCCCTTAGGACCAGGTGGTAGTGAATGACCGGTGGGGTCAGAACTGCTCCTGCCATCATGGAGGATACTACAACTGTCAGGATAAATACACACCGCAGAGCTTGCCGGACCACAAGTGGGAGATGTGCACCAGCATCGACAGATCGTCCTGGGGCTATCGCCGTGACATGACCATGTCCACCATTGCCAGTGAGAACGAAATCATTGAGGTAAGAGCACTCGCCTTGGTTATTTAGCTGCTTACCTTAGAGCCCTCCAATCCAGAGTCGGATGGCTAGAACTCACTAGGGCCACAGTCAGAGACAAGCCCCTCCTAAGTACATTGTCACTGTTGCAGAGAAAGGGGTTGGGCCTTTAAAACCTGGTTTTGGTTTTGTTTAGTTTTTGTTTCTGGTTTTTTGTTGTTGTTTTGTTTTGTTTCTTTTTTGCTGAGACAGGTTTTCTCTCTGTACCCCTGGCTTGCCTTGAACTCACAGACATCTGCTTGCCTCTACCTCTCGAGTGCTGAAATTAATGGTGTGTGCCACCATGCCCAGCTAAAATTGACAGTCACTTCTCCCCTTCCATCCTGTGACGGAAATCCTGAGGATCAAATTTAGGTCATTCTTCTTGGTAGCAAGAGACTTTACCCACTGAAGTCCCTTGTCTTTACCATCTTCTCAGCCTCAAAGAAAGCTTTATCTTTCCAGAACTTTCCTTCCTTTTTCTTTGTTGGGAGGGTGCATGTGTGTGCGCGTGTGTGCGTGTGTGTGTGTGTGTGTACACATTGTGCATGTGTGAGTGTTGTGATGTGTATGCAGGCATGTTTTTAACCTCCAGAGCACAACCTGAGATGGCTTACCTTCCATCTATGGGAGAGGGACAAGATCGCTTAATAGCCTGGAACTGGCCATTCAACGAGGCTCGCTGGCCAGGAAGCCACAGTGAGCCTTCGTTTCTGCTCGCCAGAATGAAGATCACCAGCATGCACCATACCATGACCTCCAGGTTTGGGTTGTTAATGATTGGGGTGTGTTTTGTTTGAACATAAATTCTGGGGATGAACTCAGGTCTTCTTCTAAGGCAAGCACTCACCCTGTGGGTCATCATCATCCGAGCCCCCCCCCAGGAGCATTTTCAGTTAACACATGAGCTTCCAGTGGCTTGCAGCTATGTAATGGGTAACTCGGCAGGCAGGAGGACTCTTGTGAACACCATGGCGCTGCAGTGCCGCGTGCAGCTGCAGCTATGTGAAAGCAACAGTGGGAAGATGGAAAGGACAAAGAGAGCCCTCGTGTGGTCCCTAATGGATGGGCTCACACCTGTACAGTTTTTCCAAATGTTAACCTGGTCCTGGGTTGCCTTGAGTGACGCTTGGGTTCACAGTGAACCCCCACACAGTCCTCTCCAGGATGCCTTCAGAAGGTGCCTCTTTCTGGCAGTTCCTATCTAAGATAGTAGTCATGCCTCAGCTCTCATTGTCTCTGCTCTTTTTAGGAATTGGTTCAGACAGTCAGTTTGGGAGGCAACTATCTTCTCAACGTTGGACCAACTAAAGATGGACTGATCGTTCCCATCTTCCAAGAAAGGCTTCTTGCTGTTGGCAAGTGGCTGCAGATCAACGGGGAAGCTATCTATGCCTCCCAACCCTGGAGAGTGCAGTCTGAAAAGAACACAACAGTTGTGTGGTGAGCCTTGCCTTCTTGTATGGTCAGGAGGGTGATTGATGATAGCCACATCTTCAGTTCCGCGTGAGAGTACAGCCTAAGTAAGAGTAACTAGCGAGATGATGATGATAGATGATAGATAGATAGATAGATAGATAGATAGATAGATAGATAGATAGATAGA